AATAAGAAACTCAAATAAAACAATAGCTGAGGGTAACATTAGAACCAATCTCTGTAAAACAGATCAGTCATTTTAGAAAAGGGTAAAAAATAAAAATGGGACTATAAATGCCAAAGATTACTTAACTCACCCACTGCTATTCTTTGCTCAGAACATGTGGGGAGTTAGTTATGTTTCATTTTTCTTGGTTTGTTTTTAAACTTTTTATAGGTTAGTCATATAACTCATCTGCAACAAGGGACAGCTATTACAAAAGATAACTACCCAACTCAAGGACGGATGACACCAATGCATCAAGGTTTTAACAAAAGCAACAGCTATTTTTTCCCCCAAGCAAAAATGACTCTCAGACGTGCACTTCAAATGGTGAAGCACAAAAATGGAAATTGCATCAATTTTGTTCTAAGTAAGTGCCGAGAATCAATATTTAAAAAAAAAAAATAAATCTGTACATACTTCTTCACAAATAATCTTTACATTTAATAGCTAACATACATATACATAGGAACACATGGGGGGAAAGCAGGTCAGTTTCTGCATGCCATGACATCCTTTGCAAGCTCACTGAAATGTGTAAATTGCAGTCTCTGGAAGGGTTGAAACTGACACCTTTTGAATAACTGTATGCACAGGTCATCTCTGAATTGTTTATGTTTTCTATTACAGTTCCTTCCACAGCGTGCAGTGATGGAAATGAATACAACAGATACAAATCTAACATTAATGTGGGATTGTTCTTCAGCAACATGAACAGCACTTCAATGCTGACCCTAGTATAACATCAGCATATCGCACGCACGAGTCATTTAAATATCCAGGAGAAGAAGAGTTGCCCCAGCTTAACTTTAAACAAGAAGTAAGACAGTTCATGCAGGTCAGCAATGAGTTATGGATTTATCTTAATAAAGCAAGAGCTCTCACTGAAGCCTGGACGCTAGACTTCCAATATTAATGAGTTATAGGGCTAATATACATGAGTTCAGTTCCATAATTCACTATAGAACATAGCTTCATCTTAACATAAGTGTTTGGAAAAAGATTTCATCATTGTTATATATCACCTCGGTACAAAACATCTTTCTGCTCAGGGATCTTCTGTCTCATCTGTAGTAAAAACGCTGGACAGAAACGCAGCAATGTATACAAAAGAACCTAACATAAACCCAGAATTTTTTATTTTTTAAAAAAGTTTTAAAACAGACCACCAATTCCTAGCCATAAAACTTGGTTTAGCTACAGTGCTGCATAGAAGAAACACTTCATGTACAAAATATAAACTATTCTGCAGCCTGAGCAACAAGGAAAGTCCAAAGTATTGCTTCCCACCAGATCAAAGCACACTTTGCACGAACCGAAGACCAGATGTCTTCAATTTAACGTGCTTTTCAGTTGCACTCACTTCACGTTGGGAACAAAACAAAACAAAACAAAACAAAACAAAACAAAACAAACCAAACAAAAAAAAAATCTTAAGTTAGTCTTCACAGCGAAACACGCAGAAGTATTTCACAATCCGAATTTCTGTCTAAAAATTATGGGTTTCTCCGACATACAAACAGGAGAGGGGTGGCAGGCAGAGGACCGCCAGACCCAGATAACCATCGGCAGGTTCCGGGCTCCGGGCGACAGCCAGACGCGGCTGGACGGGGCGCTCAGCCGGGCTCTGGGAGGGACGCGAACCCCGACACCCCAAACAACCGGGCAGCTTCTGCCCTGCCCTCCGGGGCGACGATTCTGGGGGGCGTGGGGGGGCTGCAGAAAACGAGGAGCCGGAGCTCTACCTCCGTTTCGCACCGGCGTTTCGCAGCCGCACCTACGGGCAGGGCTGAGCGGCGGGGGAGCCCCGGGGGCACCCTCCGGTTCTCCTTCCCCTCCCCGAGCGCTCCGCGGCCGGGCGGGAGGAGAGGGCGGCGGCTCACCTCGCCCCCTCCGGCCTTCCCGGGGCGGGGGTTAAGGAGGGGGAAACTTTCGGGAAGTCGGCGGCAGAGAGACGGCGGAGCGAGCCCGGGTCCCGCCCGTCCCTTCCAGCCCGGCCCCGGGGCTGCCCCGGCCCCGCCAGCCGCCCACCCCTTCTCCCCTCGCCGGTACAGGGGTACAGGGGCGCAAAGCCTCCCCCCGCCGCCTCCTCCTCCTCCTCCGAACGCTTCTTTCCTCCCCCGTGTAGGCAGCGGCTCCGAAGTGTCCGCCCCGCCAAAGGGACGGAGAGAAAGGAAGAAGTAAAAGAAAGAAGTAAAAGAAAGAAAGAAGTAAAAATAAATAAATAAAATAAAATAAATAAAAATAGAAGAAGAAGTAAAAAAAAAAAAAACTGAACCCCAAAAGCCAGTCCGAAACCGCCGCGCT